CGGCTCCACAGCACCCACAGCCCTGCAGCACCCACAGCCCCACAGCGCCCGCGGCCCCGCAGCACCCACAGCTCGGCCCCACAGCACCCATGGCCCAGCACCGTGGCACGGCACAGCCTGGTACAGCAGCAGCGGCACCAGTGGCATGGCACGGCACCAGCCGGCACTGACGGCCCAGCACGATCCGGCCCAGCAGGCTGCAGAGCCTGCCCGAGGGTGCGGGGCTCTGCCCCGCGGTCTCTGGGCCTCGCAGTCCCGCAGGGCACCGGGCAGCTCTCGGGGGGCGTCTCTGTCCCCGCTGCCCCGTGGTTTTGGGCTGCTGCACAGCAGGTGGGGAACGCGGCCTCCTGCAGCCGCTGTGCAGGGGTAGCATTGGTCCTTAGCCAACGAACCCTGTAATAATCAAGAGCTTCTCGGACGTTATTTTCAGCAAAACTCGGCCCCTGGACCCTGGGAAGGTGGGAGCTCCTTCCTAAACACCCCATAGGATAAAGCACCGAGGGCCAAGAAACAAGGATCTGAGCTCGTTTGGGCGTCACGGGAAATGTGGGTCTTGGGAGCAGCCTCAGAGGCAAGTCTCTGAGCCGGTTTGAGGGTTGGCACAGGATAAAGGGTGGAGGAGTTTGTGGGAAAAGACAATGACAACAAGCAACGGACGTGTCTGGCAGTGCTGGGAGAGGGGCAAGGGACACCTTAATTAACCCAGCTCCAGACTTCATTTGGGGCTTGAGGCCCAAAGTGAATCAGGATGGGCACCGGGAACATTAATCACTTCTGAAAATTAATCTTCGCCTCTGTGCTCCCATTTGTAAAATGGGAGCAGAGACAGTGACCTTTGCCAAGGGCTTGGGTGAACAATGAACTATCCGATCAATACGTGTACGAGCGTGACATGTCAATGGCTGCACGCAGATGCCCTGCTCTCTTCCAGTAGAGAGGAGACGCCCGGGCAGGGTGGCTCTCCACTGTTAAGGACATGGACTGCCGCCCCCGAAAGGCTTTTCCTGAGCGGGTGTGCCACATCCCTTCCCTCTGCGTCGAAGGCACTTCGCCAGTCCGGTGCACCAAAGCCCTGATTTGGACTCGAGTGACTCCAGCCCTCCGCACTGGGACTACGGAGCTGGCAGACAGAAGAGCCCATGTTGGCTTCTGAGCTCAGGGGGACCGCGCAGGGCTGCTGCGATGCCCCACGCCAGCGAGTTTGCAGCACAACGCGCTGCCCAGTGCGAACCCCGACTCGCGCTGCCCGCCTCGTGCTGGCGGGATGGCAGCGCTGCCGGCTGTGGTGAACCAAGCCCCTGGCGCCGTGGGGTGGCAGGGCAAAGGTGCTGTGCCCGCCCTGTGATCCCTCCGATTTGGTGCACACCGGACCCCTCTCCTGGTTCACCCAGCTCCTGGAGCTGCTGGTTGGGTGGGATTATGCCAGGCTGGAGGGGTCCGTCTCCTCCTCCAGGCCTGCAGCGGGTGAGGTGACAACACCCAGCCCAGCAGGACCCGCTCCTGCCCTTTAGCAGCCGAGGGCCGACCCGTCAGCAGCAGGATCCGTGCCTGCCCCTCGCGAGGGCTCAGGCTTCACGTCAGGGGACTGGGGAGCTGCTGACCCTTGTTTCGCTGAATCACGGGATGAACAGCTACAAGAGGGCCATACCTTGCTGCTGGCAGGCTCGGTTTTGCACCGTCCTTGCCAAAACTGACAAGTTTGGGAATGAACACGTGCGTTTTTGGCTGTGGAATGATGTGTAATTGGGTCCTTTCACTGAACCCCGTGTCGCTTTTCAGGTATACAGCCCTAGAAAGAGGCTGGACTTTGCAGGAGAGATGGGTTTCATAGATCATGGAGCATATTTCATTAGGAGAATAATGGTCTCTTTTTTTTTTTTTCTTTCCTGAGGAATCCTTTGCAAACACTGCATACGTTTGTAATGAATAGAACCCTTTCGGATGATTCAGTGACATGCTGTAAAATATCATACTTGGTTAAGCATTTTCTGTGTATTTTTTTCTGACCTAGACTCATATTCATGTCAGCTCTCCATGATGCAGTGCCATAATATTCAAATTTTTGGTAGCCAATTGCTTTTGATATTTATATCCATTTTTAAGGGAATCACAATGAATAAATGTGCTCAGCTCTAACTTTATGCAAAATAAGCGGTGTGTAAATCAGTAAATCATTAATAGAAATGAATCATTTCCAAAGGCTGAGGATTGGATCGTGTTTCAAACTTTTATCTGTTTATGTATTTCAGAAGTCACCGAAGGAGAAAACACATTGTGTGTGATAACTTAGGGCCCCGTCACAGACCGTTTACACGGTAGTAGTGGTTTATGCTTAATCAAATGATCTTTTCAAAGCAAGGTGTTGTGCACGGATTGTGCTCTGGGCTTGTTTTGCTTAATAAAAGTTGAATTTAAAGACTGGAAACAGCAAAGAACAGAGGAAGATGAGAAATTCCCATTTAACACCTTCCTCAGCAACTCCAACTCCAGAAGCGAGAGCCAGGTGGCAAAGTCTCTCTTTTGTAAAACAACATGAAGGAGGTAAAAGCAGAGGAGAGTGCTGACCCTAAGTAAAGTGGAGAGGAAGGGTTAAGATACGTCCGTATAAGCACTAACGTCAAGAGCGGGACGCGTGTATTTGTGTTCCTGGTGTCCCTGTCTCCGCTGAGGTGTGCTACCGAGGAGGTGTGCTGTTTGACAGACCCTGCCAATATTTCAGTATGTTGAAAGCGTCTTTGCCTTTTTAAAACTATTTTTATTATACGTATTATTACTTTTACATAGCTTTTCCAGGGCTGTATCATCCAGCAAATCCCTGTAGAAGGGCATCCAGGTTCCCTAGCAAAAGCTAGTTCCTTCCTTATGCCTTACCAGGAATATTGGCATGCAGTCCATTCCCTCTTCAAGGAATAAACAACCCCATGGGCAATGTTCGATATGATTCATTCTCTGTGTGACTGTGACAGCATCAAAACCTGCCTAATGCAGCTGGATCTGAGGCTGGTGGGAGGACTGAAATACCGAGGCAAGCTCGGCACGTAGGAGAGCGGAGCCTGAGCCTCTGTGCGCGGCGAGGGGGATGCTGGCTCTGCAGCGCATGCTGTGCTCCCCTGACCGGGTCGAGGTAACAGGGATGCTCGGGCTTGCTGTTCCTTGGGGATGATTTGCGACAAGGGGCCATGTCGTGTCAGGACATCACGGCTGGGAGCCCGTCTCAGAGGAGCTGGAGGAATCCTCCCCATCAGTTTTCCGCTGGGCGTACAGGCATGCCAGTTCCCCCTCCACTCCCCTCCCAGTTTAGGTTCAGCTCCTATGTGTAATGCCAAAAGGACCTGCCACGCTTGACACTGCAGTGCCATCAGGTGCAGTAGGAGAATCCATGCACCGGCGCAGGAGGGGCTCGGAGGGGAGGAATTCCTCCAGCCTCCGGTTTTATTGGGGCTGAACAGCACCAGCTTTCTCTTCCGCACTGGTACAGACTGGACGGCTGTTCTGGAGTTACACTGCCGAACGACATCTCTGCTAACACCTGTGAAGTGAGCACGCAATGATGTCATGTCCTCGCTTACGGGACGAATCCCGTCTGACCCAGTGAATTCAAATGTGTGGCAGGGGCTTTAACCTGGCCTGGGGTTAGGGCTGCTTTCTCTTCTAAGGGAAAACAACAAAGGCATTGCTGCTTCTACCTCCAGGTCAACAAGACTCCCACACAGAAGACAAAAATCAATTTGAGAAAAGAAGATGAGCTGGATTCTGTGAGCTTTGGGTCCAGGAGATACGGCAAGTGCCAAACAACAGGGAGAGGCTCTCACCCTGCAACTGCATGCCCTGGAAGGCACCCATTTGGGAAAACATGGTCATGGTCGCCACGACAGTCTTCAATCAAGAAAGAAAGTCCTTTTCGGTTGCAGTCTCTCTTTGAAGAGGATTAGGCTCACTTCTTCAGGTGTCAGCCAGCTGCAAGCACGCTGTGGGTACTCCCGCAGAGGGAAGCTGCTAGCTCCCCTGCAGCGCTTGCACCCTAAGCTGCATTAACACGGGGTCAGCGGGGGGGAACTGCAGCTCCTCTGGTCACGGTGGAACTGTGCCTTGGACTCCTGCAGCCCGGCACTGAGTGAAGCCAGCCGCTGTTAGTGTCCGGGCCTCGTCTCAGGCACCGGCTGAAACAACTTGATCGAATATTGGGTTTGCACCATTTGTGCAGCACGGCGAGCTGCCAGCATTCTCTGCCAGCTGAGAGGCGTCCGAGAGTCAGGTTTTCTCAGAGCAGACTCTGTAAGTGCAAAACTGCCCTGGGCAGAGGCAGCATTTCCCAAAATTTTTAGCATTTTGTCTAATGTCCTTCATCTAGGACTAGAGCACAGGTAACACATTTTTACAACTTTTTGGACGGCCATATCTTTTGGCAAAATATTCCTTTTGCTTTGCTCATCTAAACTTGGAGAATTCTTAATTTAGTGGGTGACAACTAACAAGTTAGTGGCTGGGACAACAGCGATTTTAACCATAAAACCAGAGAGGGAGAGACATAGAGACTCAATCGTGGAGAGCAGTTAATACAGATGTGCGAGGTATGCTCACTATGCTTGGCTGTAATCCTATACGGTCCTGTCGTTATTTGAAAATTGTCCAGAAATATGTTCTCACAAGGCCAAAATGAATGCAAAAAATGCTGTTGTGATCTTTTATTGAATCAATGAAATTTAGATTAGGCAGTCACTAAATTCCTATTTACACAACAGACCTTAATGGCTCCAAAGGAAGCACTCAAATGTATTCGACAAATAATCCCTATTTATGAAAGCCCCATAATATGCATTTACATAATCCCCACTTTAAAAAGCTATATCAGCTCTGAAGTTCTTCAGCTCAGAGATATGCCCCAGGGGATTAAAAGTACCATACAAAACAAAGGGAACTAAAACGTACACACGCACCCATCCAGAGACACGCACCCAAACCGGGAAGCTTACCGTGCGCAGACGGGAGCAGGGTGACGGACCAGCTTCCCTCGCACTCCTCCACCTCCGCCGGCGTTTCTGCTTGTGCGCAGACATGAACACAGGCACACGCACAGCTCTGCAAGTGGCTCGGCGGGATTTTGAGCACGTGCGTGATACTGCAGTGTCCCAGTGCATCGAGTCCCTCGCAGCTTTCCTCACCTTTTTTTCCACAAGTACAATATTGGTTAATCATGTATGCCCACTACCATAACGAAACAAATAGCCTGCACTAACGTTTCGGGACGTACATAGCAGCTTTCGAAAGCAGCTGACTTGGCACAGAGCCAGTGGGTCATGCGTTTTATTCATCCTCAAGACGACTGGACACTTGCTAATATTCCCGTGTGATGGATGCGGCGTTTCGCTGTCGGAGGTGCTGTCCTTGAGATAAGAAGTATGACAGGGTATAGATCTGCACCAAGCATGTTAATGTTGCTGAAAGGGGTTGAATTAAAAAAAGCTGTTCTTTACTGTGGAAAACAAGCTGTCCCTGAAAAGCTGATTCTCCAGAAGAAATGCAAATTTTGGATACTGATTTGTTACCTTCTTTAATTTTACCCTGTTTAGCAACTGTTGGTTGTTTAGGAACAAAACGCTATGACTCTTGCCTGGTGAAGCACCAGTTTCGCAATTCTGATGGCTGGGTAAAGTATATATCGGGTTCAGTCGAACTAAGAAAGGGAAAATAGTGCAGAATTAATTTCCAGCTTCAGAGAAATGCCGTCACTGCCTGTACGTTCTTAACCGTGTGTGTGTGTGTCTTTCTTTTTCAAACTCTTTCATTAGCATTTATAATATAAATGAGAACATGGAAGCACAGAAATGTTGGTATTTACCTTCAGCGAACGCCAGCATTCAACTGATGAGGAGTTTTGTTGGCAAAAAACTCATCCTCTCCCGAAGCTCCCGGGTTGTCAGCCAGCTCCCACGGTGCTGCGGGCACCAAGTCCCAGGCAACAACGGGAGCAATAGCCAGTGCACAGCTGCACGCCCGAGCCCTCTTCCCACCTGGCCCAGTCCTCCTCCAGAAGCCAAAAGGGATTTTTCTGCTTTGCCGGGGTAGGGCAGGGTCCAGCGTCCCCTCAGCTTCTCTTTCAGCCTCTCCCCGAAGGGGCCTGCTCCCCTCCGCCCTCGGGAACTGTGTAACGGCCAGTAAAACTCTTCCCTTGAAAGCCAGACTTGTTCCCTGGGTGAGGCTGGGGTAACAGAAGGGCTCAGCACTGGACTGTGTCGGTGCCTGAGGCACCGAGCATTTCTTCCCAAAATAACACAAAAGATTGGTAATTTCGCTCTGTGCGTTCTGAGCTCTGTTCCACCTTAATAATGAAGCTTTTGAGTTAAGGTTTCAATTTAATGAGGCTCTTTGCAGTTTACATAAAACAACCACATGAATAAATACTCAGTTTAGAAAAGATAAGACCTGGGGATGAGTTTGGCGGGGGTTCAGCAAGAAAGATTATGCATACAGCAGATAAAGGTGTCTACGGCTGTGCCGTCACTTGATCTTGTCAATCTAATATCAACTCGAACATGGAGGAGAAGCAGCCGTTATTTTACCGGAGTGCAGCGAGTAACGGGATCTCAGGAATCACCACACCTGGAGCCGGTCAGACTCAGGAGCTCTCATGTGCTTGTGCCTCAAAGTCAGCCAGTAGTGATTACAGTCAGCGGAGCAACCTGCAAAGTCTGATTGCTGAGAAAGGGGAATTGCACGGAGAACGGTTCATTTTTTCATTTTCCAAACAGATTTGGTGTAGGACGTGTGTGTTCCTTTATTCTCCCCGCTCCACATTGATTACTGTAATGATGCACCGTTCCAGAGCTGGTCTTTCAATACTGACAGGCCACGCTTCCCAGGCTGGCTACCCGAAATGGGATGTTTTGAAAAATGTACAGATGTAGAAGAACGGGGAGGCAGAAATTTTCTTTGTGGCAAGGTTGAGGTGCGAGGGTTGGGAGATGAAGGGATGAATCCCTGTAATTTTGTTGTTCTACAAATTATGCCTTGTTTAAACTCTCTACCTCAGGTTTTGATCTGTTACACCGGTGCTAATCCATATATTTATGCTTTGCTAGTCTGGATTCAAAGTGGTATAATTCAGCTCATCATCAAGACCAAGAGTCCTCCTTATCTTCTGCCTGCACTGCCACTCTATCATAATTTTTGCACTTTTTGTGACTCGTCATCGGCCCTGTTGCGATAACTGAGGTCAGAAGGAAGGAAAACATCAATTTTTAATGAAATTCACTTCTCGGGTGATCAGGTGCTTCTGGAGAACAGCAACCAGGCACCAGCCTTCAGACTGCCCATCTCTGCTCCTCCCTGCCTGTACCCCAGCCCGCCGAGCCCCCGGCTCGCTGTGCTCTTCTCGCATCGGGGAGAGGGGCCTGGCAGCGCAGGCTGAAACTCAGCAGCAGAGAGGGGTGATGCTGCTGGTGGCTCTGCGCTGGTCTCGTTCCCTGCAGAGAGAGGGAAGTGGTCTGCAATCGGGGTAGCGGATCACGCCTGGGACAGCGCGTCACCAAGCATGGGCTGTTTTGTAAGGGTGATGCCACCAACAAATTTCATTTCTCCACTCCTCTTTTTGAGTCAAGCTCCATGATGAAAATAGCAAACTTGGTCAGTTCCGAGACTCATCTTTGACCAACTCACCCAGTAACTTCTCCTCGCGTGTTGCTTCCCAGCAGTCTAACTGTTTCTGTCCTCCCTTTGGCCATTTCCTTGCTCACTTAAATTATTCTATTAACCTCTACTGCCTTCAGTCCTGTAGAGAGCCGTTATGAGATTACCGGGGGGTCCACACCGTAGAAACAAGACAATACAGCTAGACGTGTAAGGCGTTACCTGGCAGACAATGATTTCTTGTGCAAACAAATAGTATTGAACTGGTGGGAAGAACAGGTGCTGCAAGGGACAAACCTTTCCAGCCACGATGCTGGACCAATTCGCACTCTTACTGTTGGGATAGGAGGAGCTGAGGATGAGGAGCCTGCTCGGTGCTTTGGCAGGCTGTTCAATCTGTGAGTCATAGCTCTACTGGAGCCGTACCAGCCCCTTGGCCAGACAAGCTTTGCCTTCATTAACTCTTTCCTGCAGGAGAAGCAGAAGCCAATTAATTACGACTTAGACTTTATTCCATTAAACTCCTCTAAGCTCGAGGGGAAGAGCCTTAAGACTCTACTCTGATCCTGTTGCCACTGACGCCAGTAAAAAGCTCTCCACAGACTTGGATGGGAGGAGGCATTAATTCCACGTCTGCTTTCAGCCGGGAGCATGGCCACGCTCGGTGCCACTGCCAGGAGGGCTGTCCCTCTGAGCGCAGTCCCTCTTCCCCATCAGCACCTGCCTTGGGAGATGCATTGTCTGCAGAGGACGATTTCTGCTGGTCCCGGTGACAACGGACCGAGTGGCCATCCTCCCAGTGGCCATACATTGTAGTCACTGTCAAAACCTTGCTCCCGTATCTTATCTTAAACATTTATTCTGCTGCTCCCTATAAAGAAAAACCCTGAGCCTTCCACCTTCCGAGCTGAATGGACTCTAATTAACTGGATTTTCAAAGAGCGATCGTCACATCTGAAATGACAGACTTCAGATCTGTCCCAACACTCACAGTTTTTCTTCTAGAAGAGAAATCTTTACAAGCAGGGACTAAGTCACAGCTCCACAAGGCTGGGTTTAAGTGGGCAAACCTTAGAGAAGAACTGCTCCTCAATCTCCTTTTCATAAACTATTTGTGTTTCAAAGAAGTCGGAGGACTGAATGCAGGTTGTCTGTGTCATACTGGACTGCACAGTTGACAAGGCAGGAGTGGATCCTGCTTTGTGACAAGAACAAGTTAAATGCCATCATCTGGTGCAATGTTACAGCCAAGTCTTTGCATGGGGTCTGATGCCATGATGCCAGGTACTCTACAATGCGTAAGCAGCTGGGTTTTTATTCACAGGCAGATTGCTCAGGTATTTGGTGTGGAATAGGTACAAGGTGATAAAAGAAGTGTATTATTTATACAGCATACGAAAACGCAACTGGTCTTCTGGATATAGGACAGCATAGTTCAAAGTCAAATTTCTCTTTGTTCTTCGTGTGTTGCAAGTAGCTCATTGGCGCAGGCCCAGCACTTCTCAGACTGGTTACGGGACTGTCTCATCTGAGCTCTGATCTGTGCCACAGCTTGTATTTCTTGTATTTTGTTTAGCCACACTGTGGGCCAACAAACTCCCACTGCAGTCAACAGGCCCTCAGGATCCGGTCTTTCTCTCGAGTCATGGTGCAATGATGTGTCACCTCTTCACTCTTACTACTGTTCTGAACGCTTTTCTTCCCAGCCCCACTTATTTGGGTCAAGGTTTCCTAGAACCCCATCATCCAAATGCTTAGCAGCAGCACAGGAGACTTGCTTCACTCTTGCTGTAGTCCGCAGAGGTGGTAACGCTCCGGTGGCCCGCAGAGGTGGTCACGTCACACAAATGCTCAGACACAGGTCTGTCTGCTGATGCGTACGTCTGTCCTTCCCCGGGAAAGGGAGGGCACTGGGGAGGGGGAGAGCCTGCAAGCCTCCGGCAGACAGCGTTTCAGTCATTCAAGGTGGATATAAAAATAGAGAAGAGTTCTCAATAAGAGGTTGGTTAAAGAAGTCAGAATACATAATAAAGTATCGAAGTGAAGAAAAATAGGTTAAACAGACATCACATTTCATCTTTATTTCTTTTGCTGTCAATCCCTTGCCTATTGTCTGGTAAATTCTCTTTCGGGGCACTGTGGTTTGGCAATTGAGAATTGTTTAAATCCCCTGGATGAACACTGCCTCACAGGGGGGACGTTTAATACCCAGGGTCAGATTTTCAACGCGTGCAGTGCCTCACCTCAGCTTCAGATGTTTCTGCACAGCTATAAGCTCACAGAAAAAACCTGATATGCACCGCCCCCGCCCCCGATCTGCGCTCGATTGCTAGATTTGCCATTTGTAGGTGCTAGTAGAACAGCAGACCATTTTTGCACATGAGTTTTTGTGTGCAGATTTCTACGTGAACAAAGAGAAGCCCTGCTTTGCAAACCTGTCTCTGCGGAGCAGATTCTTAAAGAATGGAATTGATACCTGCCTAAACTCAAGTGGCTACTTTATTTCCTCCCCTCTTGCATTCAGTCTCACGGCATATCACAACCCGTTTGTCTACATCTACGTGTTCAGAAATGCCATATTCCTTCAGTTCAGCTGTTACAAACAGATGCCCTACGCTTCAGAACGAAGAACGTGTGTGAAGGTTGCCTGGTTTTTCTAGATGTGCCTATCACTTCATACATATAAACAGCAGAGAAAACACATAAACTTATTGAAACTGGACAAAATATACGGTTAAGATTCACTGAAACTAATCAAGAAAAATATTCGTAAATTTAAATAACTGAAGGAAATCTTCAGCTAAACAGCATTTTCCCTCTGTCCTCCTTTAATCAATGAGATCATAAGCTATTATTTTAAACTCCTAATGCATCAGAAGGGCAGAAGGACAGCTTTTTAGGTGGCAGCATAAAAACCAACAGCAACCTGACAGGCTTACGGATGGCCAGCAAACCCAAAGCCTTTTGGATCTTTCTGGACTTTCACTTAAATGAAAGTAAAATATGTGGCTGTGCTGCACGGGCTGTTCCTCTTTTCTCCCTTTCTCGCTGGAAGAGGGCAACATCTGCCCTGAGGCCCCAGCCTGGGTCTGCCCAGGCTCCATTGGTTTCGCACAGGAGGACTCATGCCCACGCAACTCGGTGGCAGCGAGGCTGGGGTACGTCGTGGGCGCAAATGTGCGTAGGCTTTGCTGGGCATCTACATCACCCTGCAGCCCTACAAAGGCTGAGCCGCTCTGGCTGAGCACGGCGCCAGGGGACCCCAGCGCGGGAGAGCAGCCGGGCTCTTGCCTGTCGGAGAGGAGCCTGCAAGCGCTCACCGCCAGGATGGGGCGCAGGAGCCTCCTCATGCCCATCCGTACGCGCGTGGGACCAAGTCTGCTGAAATCGACTGGTAGAAATGAGGGGGAAAGAGAGTCCTGGAGACAAAAAAAGAGCAGAATCCTAATTTTGGGGGTGCTGCCCACACTCCCTCAGTTACAAAGCTTCCAAGGCAGCAACCGGTTGGCCACACAGCTGTACATTTTAACTCCTTGCCTGTCAGCAATCGCTCGGGAAGACTTGGCGCTATCTGCAATGCATGTGCGCACACACGCAAGAAGCCAATTAAAGCAGCCAGGGCTGGCGTTCCCTCCTGACTCCCCCATGGGTGCGTGCGGCTCGAGCAGCTTAATGAGACGGGACAGCCAGAAACGCATCGCTAGGCAACGTGGCGCTGCTGGCCAGGCTGGCCCCGAAACGGAGGGGGCTGGCAAGCCAGCAAGAGGAGCAGCACGCCATGGCTGGCATCAGGAACTGGGCTGCAGTGGTGGAGATGCAGACAAAGCTGTCGGGAAGAAATCAAGAGAGAAGACCCTCACCTATGGAACACGCTAAACTGAGAGAGATGAGCAGGAGCCTGGCGTGAGCGCTGCCAGCGCAGAGAGGGGTGGTCCTGCCCCGAGCCTCGAGCCCCTCCTTGGAGACTGCACGGCTCCACCTGGGAGCAGCTACCTCCAAGCAGGCGGGAAGGGTCCTCGCGTGCCGCTAAGTTACTGGCAACTGTTAGGAGTACCTGGGTTTCAATTATAATAAAATTAAAGGAATTCAGCTCCTCTGTCTTCTCGGGGCTGGAGCATGCACGTGTCCCATCCTGTGACTGCTCAGCAAGCCCACGCGCTGGCTCCCGGTGATCGCAACACAGCCTTCCCGCTGGGAGTGATTCTCCACTTGCTTTTCAGACACCTGTATATCACAAGAATCATAGGTTCGGGGGCTCTGCCCGTCCCTGAGAATGCTGTGAGCACCCTTCCTGCAAGCCCACCGAGTGTGTGCTTTCCAGTTGTTAACAACTGCACGGTCAGCTACAGGCACACAGAACAACTGGCAGGTTTTAGGCATCTGTTACAGTTTTTACCCAGGTGAAGCCAGGCTAACAAACCGGTAACACTTAGAGCTATCGACTGCCTCAGACAAAATACAGCTGCTTGTTCCTCTGTCAGCACTGTGGGCGGGTGAAGCACTGATGACATTTATCGGATAATTTTCTTTCCATACCAGGCAGCAAAACAAACTTTTGCTAGAATGTGTTCTTTTCACAAGTGATTTTTTTTTCAAATTCCTATCCTGAGATCGATCTTAAAGTCATGTATAGAAATAAGGCAGAAGAGCATTAGAAACTGCACCGGTTTGGAAGCTTGTATCCCCCCTCTGCTTGCACTGCTTCAGAGCTACAACCTCTCTCCCCCACATTCAGTAGTATTTTCATTAGATACGCGACCTCTGGTTCTGATTAAATAACTTGTATAATTAGATTGAGACATCTGCTTATCCCTAGGGGAAGAAATCCTTTTCAGCACTGGACTAAGTCTGATTTGGTTAATTACCTTAGCACTACTGTATTAATACATAGTTTCTTGATGGCAAGAAGCTGTGGTATTAGGTTTATTCCTCCTGGCTTTCACAATGCTATGGTAAGACAGTTTAGGGATTAGGAATCAGGCACTGAGCCCAGTATTTCCCTCCTCTCTTCACTCATCTCAACACTCTCCCCTCGTTTTGCTGATTGAAATATTCCCTGTTTTGCTTGCCTGTTGAATACAGTTTCCAGGTTCTTTGTTTTACATCTAAGGCTAATCTATTCCCAGTGACTGCTCCAAAGCAATGCATTCTGGGATACTTTGGAGTAATTAAAGTTCTCGGGGTTCTTTGGAGATGTGAATCCGTATCAACGAACAAACGCATGACTATTGGCACTGCTAGATTTTCAGTCCATCCTCCAGAAGCAGAGCAGTCCCCATACAGACTGGCAAAGTGGAACAGACACAAACGGAGAGCAACATGGAAGTGCACTCGGGTTTGCACACACCGTGGTTTTCCTCTGGTGTCTGCAAGTTTGACCATCTGCAGGCAACCGGACTGCAAAGTTCCCCTGAAATTGCAATAAAGACAGATTCTGTCCTTTGGACAAGCTTGACCAAAAGTGAACGAACTTAGATATGCTGAAAAAGAAGTGACTAAGATTGCATGGAAGCTTGGAAAAATACATTCTCAGGAGCGGGTGGCGGTAAGCCCAGTGGGCACCGAGCCCCGAGGTGGGTGCTCCGGAGCTGCACCGGCAGGCAGCGGGCAGAGCCGCAGGCAGAAGTGGTCCTTAGGGCACGCAGCCGGGTGCCTGCTGGCAGCGGCCCACGGGCAGGCGGCTCTGCCAAGGTCCTTGCCGCTGGCCTTCCCTGCTCGCCCACCAGACTGAGCACCCCAAAGTGCCACTGGCTGCGAGCTGATTATTTAAACAGGCTGGTCTGGGGGCCCAAAAGCGCTCCTGGCAATGGT